CACAAACGCCTATAACGCATTTTGAGTGGTGTTACCGCTCCGCAAACACCCCACAACCGCACCGCAAATGCCGGCCGGGCGTTTGCGGAGCGGCACCATAGACGAGAATAGGAGGCTTCAACGCCTCCTGACTCGACCAGAGGTGTCCGTTTTGCCGTGACGCGACGCAAATGCTCCCGTTAGAACAGCACCATGTGCTGTAATGTGCAGAATTGGCAGAGGCGTTTGGGAAGCGGTAAAAATGCTTCTCAAACGCCTCTCTGCCGCCTGCACACAACACTAGTGTGAATGTAGCCTAATACAGTTAAACCTATGCAGGCACTATAACAGCTTTTGCTTATTTTCAGAAATTATCTTTTTTTGCCTTTTTTACAAGGATAAAAAGTTCTGTCATGTGGCCATTCATCTCTTCTTCCTGATAACAGGGGGAAGAGTTATGCAGGCCATACATGGGTCGAATGCCGAATGAATTTTCTATAGAAAATCGGATATTTTGTGCATTTTGTAATCCAATGGTGCCACCATTGATTTCGAAATTTGACCAGCCAAGCCTTTAATTTCACCTCATGTTGCTACAGAAAATCATTTTTGTGGCCAAGAATTTTCGTTTCTTTCCAGGTCACAGCTCATGCTCATTTCTTTTTTGATTACATTTCTCGCATGATTCCCCCATCATTGATTAGAAATGTATTTGTCTTGCAAAAAAATTTCCAACATGTCCAATCACCCAAATTCAATGGTTGTTCGAAAATCATCCATTGCTGTGGCCCACTAATAGTGCGAAATTTGAACAAAAATTCTTAGCAAAGATTTTCGAAAGAAATTCTTTCGAAATTCGACCCATGTATGGCTGGCTTTACAGGACGCTGTGCAGACAAACAATGTGCCTGTATTGCATAGTCTGATCAGCCCGGGAAAGTTGCAGGTTGTGCTTAGGCAGGTTGTGATTGGGAAAGTGTGTGTGTGAGTGGCAGGCTGTGATTGGTTGGGGGGAGTGGTGGCTGAACAAACTACCCATTACAGGCATGCAGTGTGTCTGCACAGTGTCCTTTACCTCTAAATAGACAGCCAAAGGATGAGAACTAACCATGCTAATACAGATCAGCTTCTGTACTTTGTATGGTTAGTTTACAAGGAAGAAAGGTGACTGGCAGGAGCACCCGGTACTTCAGATGGAAGAAGTGCATGAAAATGATACAGACTATGATTTATAAAATGCACTATGAACACACACAAAGAAGTAAATTAATATTTAGGGTAACATAAACATTAAAGTGGAACTTCACTCTCTCAATGAACGTCGACTATTTTTAATCCTATTGCTGATAGCATTAGTACATAGATAGGAAAGTATATCATATTTACTTGATTTATCCTTTTTTTCTACATTTCTTCAGTTACTTCCTGGTTTCCATGCCTAGGCAAATGATGTCATACATCCCAGAAGTCTTCGGGAAGGGAGGAGGGGTTTTCTAAGCTAAGCACACCCTTCTGCATGCATGCCTGAGCTAACACTAGATGGATTCCAGGAAGTAAATGCTACACAAATCATCTACCATTACTCAAGATGGCCATGGTCAGAAATCATAGGAGAGTGTTTTTCAAAGAGCTTTCTCGGCAAAATAAAGCACGAAGACATGAATGGATGAGTGAGTTTGCTTTTGACTATTAAAAATGAATTACACAGCATTGATGGTTTGTGGTGCTCAGATGCAGTGTAGTTCTGCTTTAGTAAGCATTGCAGCGAACAAGACACGTAGCACCACAAAATTGCAGAGTACATAGTTCCCTTTTACAAAGATTACAGGAAATGATTGCTCAGAAGAAATCATCATCTTTACCATAGTGATAATAATAGTAAATTTAACATGAACTGCTTTTTTCCTCCTTGGAAATAGAAAAAAAAAAAGCACAACAAAATCTTTGAGCTATCAGGAAACTGATGGTGAACTATATCTCAGCACCCAAGGAGGCACACATGCCTGTCAGCTGCCTAGGGCGGCTCCCCAAACATTTGCTCTGTGGGGTGCTCACTGTGGATTTACTATACATTGACTGCGTCTATTTAGTGAAGGTTTCAGCTTCATCAAGAAACATATGACCCCATACAGTACACAATAATGGAGCCCGAGTGTGAAACATACCGAAACTGAACTCAAGAATTCCCATTGCATTATGGGAGATTACTTTTGTTCCTGGACCAGACTTAATAAAAGCAGCACTGAAAAACAGTATTAAACCCAAAAGCAAATATTTATTATATTGCAGCTTATCTATTCGTATATGTGGTGGCTGCATTCATTTTCTTTTTTATGCTTTCTTTCATTTTCAGCTCACAGTCTGGTCAGTAAGTCTGTTGTTTTTCAACAGAACAAGCTATCCTGCAGATGTAGCAGTTAGAGGTTTGGGACAAACTATTTACCACTGGTGGGTGCGTACAATGATAAGCTTTTTTTTTATCCCAAAAGAAGAAAAAGCTGTTTGCTGTAACTGCTTATAAAGTGTTAGCTGGAGTTTGTTTAGGGCAGCCTTTCTCGACCTTTTCAACACAGAAGAACTCTTGAAAAAAAAACTTTCCAGTCTCAGGGAACTCCTGCTAAAAATGACTATATCTACATCTCACAATACATTAGTGTGATGGTCAGTGGGAAGAATGCTCCGTACATTTGTGATCATTGGGAAGAATGACCCCCTCTCAGATAGCTAAAAAGATCAATGGTGTCAGTGGGAACTTATCTGAGATGCAGAAATTGCTGATTGCTCAAGGAACCCCTAGCAACCTCTGGAGAAATCCTGGGGTTCCATTGAACTTTGGTTAAGAAAGCCTGTTTTTTGTGTATTTAAATCTGCTAGTCCATCTAACACTAATCTCCCCCCAAGGCTGACAATGCTGCTGTCCATAGGTGCTCTGTGCTCCTTCATCCAGAGTGGAGGCACTCTAATACAGGAGGTGTGTTACTGGCCAGGTGAAAACAGAGGGGAAAGAAGACTAAAAAAAAAAGAAAATGAATGCAGCCACCACATCTAATAAATGGTAATCTGCAATACTACAGTCTTGGTTTGGGGCTTAAAATGGATCTAAACTCTCCTATCTTTTGATCTGCAACTTCCATGGTGCTGCACATGGGATCCGTTATGTGTAAGGCTACTGACACTGTGCAAGGTGCCTAGTATAGCCCAGAAGAACCCACCCTGGGGTAGGCCACCTACACACCTCCCATCTTTCTGAGATGGGAATGAGGGCTACCTATAAGCAAAAGTATGTATTCATAGGACACACCCTGTGATGGGAGTCACTTGGGGTGGGGGGCCCATGGAACCCAGCTCACTTTTAGAGAGGTGGGGAGACCCCTGTCTCAGCTCACCATATCCCTATTATGTGTAAGTCACCCTGTGCCTGTTAGGGGTACAGGGTGGTCTGTCCTAATATTGGGGTTGGGGGGTTGTTGTTTAATGCCATGTGGTTGCATTCCATTGCTCTATTGTATGTTTTGCTTGGGAGCAAACTATTATGGGATGTATGTGTTTATGTGTATTAGCTTAGTGGGGGGAGGGGGGGGTGTCTCCAGCAGCCCTCCCTCCTGAAGGGACTGTTAAAGTTTGAATGCCTGTGTGTCTCTTGTTGCTAAGTGAAGATTGCACCCGCCCTGTGTCATTATGTAGGGAGGGGGATTGTCCCAAGTGTATAAAAAGCCAGTTCGAGTTTCAAATAAAGAGTTCCATGTTCAGACAGATTGGTGTTGACTAGTCTTGTTTGGTCAGCTGTGGTGTCTGTGGTTGGTGTTCGGACGAGGAATCGGTATTATAAAGGAAGTGCCCAAGCACAGACAGAGTCAGTTCCATTACACACACCCTCCCACGCCCCCTTACAAGGAGAATATTTGTGTAAAAAATGATTGGTTAAACCCACAACTACTATTCCTTTATACTGGCTTAATGTACAAATGCAATAATTTAGAACTTGAAAAGTTTAGCACTGGGAAACACTTTCTGATAAATAATACCATTTTTAATACAGGTATATACATCAGACCAAAATGAGCGACAAATGAGGAGGAAAGGGGGACAGAGGGACTTTGCTCAAAATGAGGGACATTCCATTGAAATCAGGGACAGTTGAGAGCTATGCACCTATGTGACCCATACTTGGTGCCCAACAAGGAGGGGAACATGGATGAGGTAACACCCACTTACCCTAAATGCATTTCAAGGCTCCTTTCACATGAATGGAGCTCCGATTAATGGAGGGTCCATGAGCAGATCCTCTGGTGAATCAGAAATGAATGGATGTCAGTTTTTTATGTTTATGTTTATTTTACATTTGTGCCCGTTCAGGTTGTGTCCACAGGACATGGGCAGACCTGTGCTGGTTCTATGGACATCCGGGTGTAAACTGACCCTATTGTACGTTTACATCAGGCTCCCTCAGCACGTTTAGTCCAGCAGAAATGGAAAAGAATGAACAAACGCAGACCTGGACAGGCTTGAAGGTAGTCAGATATAAAGGGACACAAGTCTGCTTACATCTGACTGTCCATAGGATTGTAATGCCTGTGTGAAAGGACTTGTGTCTATCTGAATCACTGGCTGACAGAACATGGATGCTGCTCAGGAATTCAGACACCACGAGTCCCCAGCCGGCAACTTAGAAACCTTTGCAGCCAAAGGATCAACATGGCAGCCAGGCAGCTGGCATTTTCAGAAGCAACTCAGCAATGGCAGCCTAGTCATTTGACCCATCACTGATCCCCTTTCACATCTAGTACAACTGCCCAGATATGTTGCTGGAACAAGTGTGGCAGGAGATGGAGAGATCTGTACTCCAGCTGCATACACTGCCAGACTGAGACAGGAGGAGAGGGGGAGGGGCACACTTTCAGGTTTTAATGTCTATTTTTGCTCTGAACATTTGATTATTGAGCTTTAATTGGAACCAAAATAGAACCAGAGGCAGCTACATCCTGCCAGCAAAGCTTTCAGTGATGTCATCAAGGAGCGACCCGGAAGCTCCTCCACGTGTGTCACTGGAGGAGACCGATGCTGCAGGAATTGCGTCGCTGACAAGTTTCAGCATCTGTTGTCATTGTAATAAAGGGACTGGACGTGTTCACAGGTAACTGGAGACCCCCGATTTTCTCATAGATCGTGACCACCCCTCCCTACCCTAAAAACAGGTCAGAGAAGAACGGGGATGCAGACATTAGGATTGGTTTCCCCCATTCAGACTTGATTGCTGTAAGAAACACAGATGGACTGCATGTTACTAAGAAATGCTTATCCAGGGCTGAGCTAATGCTTTACAATTGGGCAACTATTCCTATTTCTGAACTGGCTGTATGAGAGCTGCCATTTGTAGCTGAACACAACACAGACAGTATGGGGGGCATTTACTAATCCTGGAGCACTCAGAATCTGGTGCAGCTGTGCATGGTAGCCAATCAGCTTCTAACTTCAGCTTGTTCAATTAGACTTTGGCAACAAAACCTGAAAGCTGATTGGTTTCTTTCTAGAGCTGCAGCAGATTTTTGCATTCTCCACTTTTAGTAAATACGTAAGGAAGTGTTAGAACCCCTGCCAGGCTTTGATACCTGTGTCCCCGGCAAACAGGATGAGCTCAGGTATGTTCACGAATCTGAACCCACCTGGTCTATGCCGACAGAGAGCTCTCAAAGCAGACAGCCAAATACATGAGGCAGAAGCATTCCCCTTACATACACTATATTGTCAAACATATTGGGATGCCTACCTTTACACGCACATAAACTTTAATGGCGTCTTAGTCCGTAGGGTTCAATATTGAGTTGGCCCGTCCTTTGCAGCTATAACAGCTTCAACTCTTCTGGGAAGGCTATCCACAAGGTTTAGAAGGGTGTCTATGGGAAGGTTTGACCATTCTTCCAGAAGTGCATTAGTGAGGTCAGGCGCTGATGAGAAGACCTGGTTTGCAGTTTCCGCTCTAATTCATCCCAAAGGTGTTTTGTCTGGTTGAGGTCAGGACTCTGTGCAGGCCAGTCAAGTTACTCCACCGCAAACTTGCTCATCCATGTCTTTATGGACCTTGCTTTGTGCACTGGTGTGCAGTCATGTTGGAACAGGAAAGGGCCATCTCCAAACTGTTCCCTCAAAGTTGGGAGTGTGAAATTGTCCAAAATGCCTTGGTATGCTGGCCCCTTAAGAGTTCCCTTCACTGGAACTAGGGGGCCAAGCCCAACCCCTGAAAAACAGCCCCACACCATAATCCCCTCTCCACCAAACTTTTATTTTGGCACAGTGCAGTCAGGCAAGTACTGTTCTCCTGGCAATTGCCAAACCCAGACACGTCCATTGGATTGCCAGACAGAGAAGCGTGATTGGTCACTCCAGAGAATACGTCTTCACTGCTGTAGAGTCCAGTGGCGGCATGCTTTACACCACTGCCTCTGATGCTTTGCATTGCACTTGGTGATGTAAGGCTTGGATGCAGCTGCTCAGCCATGGAAACCCCTTCCATGAAGCTCTATATGCACTGTTGCTGTGCTAATCTGAAGGCCACATGAAGTTTGGAGGTCTTTAGCTATTGACTCTGCAGACAGTTGGTGACGTCTGTGCACTTCAGAATGCGCTGACCCCATTCTGTCAGTTGCTGTTGTTCCCAGTTGCTTCCACTTTGTTATAACACCACTAACAGTTGAGCGTGGAACATTTAGTAGCAAGGAAATTTCACAGATGGACTTATTGCACAGATGGCAACCTATCATGGTACCACACTTGAATTCACTGAGCTCCTGAGAGTGACCTATTCTTTCACAATGTTTGTAGAAGCAGTCTGCATGCCTAGGTGCTTGATTTTATACACCTGAATCCACTGATTTGGAGGGGTGTTGAAATGCTTTTGGCTATATAGTGTACGTTTCAATGTGGGGCATGCATCCATCACCTATGATTGTTTGTCTACTTTGACAGCTTCCTAGTGGGACAGATCAGGCAGGTTCAAACTCCTGTCCACACACTCCTGAGGCCATCCCTGCTAGTGAGATGCACTCACTCCAATTATCCTGTTGATTAGCAATGAGCCCAGGCATGTTTCAGTCCCAGTCTGAATCCACCTGAGTGAGCCAGGAAGCAGTCACCTGTACTAGGCCAATCACCTGAGACTGGGGCATTCCCCAAGCTGCATATACCTGGGGTATGTATCTAAGTATTGCTTTGGGCGAAAGGGGGAGGAGGTAAATGACTTGGCTCAGTACAGTGACTGCTTCCTGGCAAGCTTGCCCAATTGGATCTGGACCAAGATTTGTCTATGCCTGAGCTCTTCCCTACTGTTGACCATTGCCACTCTACAGGAAGGGAGAAATCCAAAATGTTTACAGTTGCCACTGGAACTGAAAGTCTTCCAACAAGCACATCTGTTCAATGAGAACTGCTAAAAAGAGGGAATCTGCTCACTTTGTAGGGATGTCCTTTCATATCCTGTTGCATTTTTGGAACTGGAAGTGATATAGACAGCAAAAAGATAGGAAGTTTAAAGTGAATGTGAATACTTACTATCCTAGAACATTTAAATTAAGTACTACACTGATCTAAGGCAAAAAAAATTAAGACAAAAAAAAAAAAAAGCTTTCCCAGCAGTCACATGACCCCTAAGCAGATTCTGCCTCCTGGGCTCCTAGCAGCATACTTACAGGAGTAAAGGCATGCTGTGTATAGGCATGGTGTTCTGTAGCTCCCGTTCAGAAGGTACAGACACAAACTGACCACACTAGGACAGATCTGCATCCATGCCTAGCGTGGTCAGAAGTAAACAGGCTGAAGGGGACTGGCAGAATTACCAGGTTTGTTAATGTTACTTAACTATTCTCAATAAATAAAAAAGTGCACAGTTGGTGACAAAGAAAACCAATCCCCAACTTTACTAATTTGGTTCACATACAGTTGTGCTCGAAAGCTTGCATACCCTGGCAGAAATTGTTTTGGCATTGATATGAAAAAATGACTGATCATGCTAAAATACTGTCTTTTATTTTAATATAGGGATCATATGAAGCCAGTTAATATCACATAGTTGTTTGGCTACTTTATAAATCATAATAACAGAAATCACCCAAATGGCCCAAATCAAAAGTTTACATACCCTGGAATATTTGGCCTTGGTACAGACACACACGGTGACAGACGCAAGTTAAATGGGCAATTAAAAAAGTTAATTTACCACATCTGTGGATTTTTTTTAATTGCAGTTTGTGTCTGTGTATAAATAGACTGTGATACTTTTTTTATTTGCACTAACATACAATTTTTCAGGACAAGCTTTTGGGGTGTACCCCCTTCTTCAAGGTCCCAACAGTACTAACTGGTTATTACTGCTGGGACCTTGAAGAGGTGGGTACACCCCGAAAACCTGTCCTAAAAAATTGTATGTTAGTGCAAATAAAAAAAAGTTTCACGGACGGTACTCAATTGTCTCTGTCACAGGTGCAGTAATATGGCTGCAATCACCTCAAGCATGTGTAAATAATCAATGAATTTGTTAGTTCTCATATGGATGCACTGAGGAGGGTAGATACTGAACTATGGGGAACAGAAAAGAACTGCCAAAAGACCTGTGGAACAAGGTAATAGAACTTTATAAAGATGGAAAAGGATATAAAAAGATATCCAAAGCCTTGAATATTATTATACAGGATTTATATAGCGCCAACAGTTTGCTCGGCGCTTTACAAAATAAAGGGAGACAATACAGCAACAATACAGTTCAATACAAGAGGGTTAGGAGGGCCCTGCTCCTTGGAGTTGAATTTGCCAGTCAGTACTGTTCAATCACTTAAGTGGAAAATTCGGGGATGTCTTGATACTAAGTCAAGCTGAGGTAGAGCAAGAAGATTGCAGCCACAACTGCCTGAAGAACTGTTCAGGATATGAAGAAAAACCCACAGGTAACCTCAGGAGAAATACAGGCTGCTCTGAAAAAAGGCAGGGTGGTTGTTTGAAGGAGCTCAATACGACAGTACTTGAACAAAAATGAACTGCATGGTTGAGTTGCCAGAAAGAAGCCTTTACTGCACCAATGCCACCAACAAATCCTGGTTAAATTAAGCCCAACAACACCTTGACACGCCTCGCAGCTTCTGGCACACCGTAATCTTGTGTGATGAGACCAAAATAGAGCTTTATGGCCACAACCATGCGCACTTTGGAGAGGGGTCAACATGGTCTATAGCGACAAGAATAACATCCCCACTCTAAAGCATGGTGGTGGCTCACTGATAGGGGGGGGGGGGGGGGGTTAAGCTCTAAAGGCATAGGGAATTTTGTGAAAATTGATGGCAAAATGAGTGCAGCATGGTATCAGAAAATACTGGCAGTCAATTTGAATTCTGCAGCTGCACATAGGATGCAGTTGGACTGTCCAGAACAACAGTGACCCTAAGCACAAGGCCAAAGTTGAGTGGTTACAGCAGAAAAAGATGAAAGTTCTGGAGTGGCCATCACAGTCTCCTGACCTTAATATCATTGAGGCACTCTGGGACAGTCTCCTGACCTTAATATCATTGAGGCACTCTGGGAAGATCTCAAATGTGCGGTTCATGGGAGACAACCAAAGATTTTGCATGACCTGGAAGCGTTTTTTGCGAGGACAAATGGGCAGCTCTACCACCTGTAAGAATTCGGGGGCCTCATAGGTAACTGTTACAAAAGAGTGCATGCTGTCACTGATGCTAAAGGGGGCAATGCACAGGATTAAGAACTAAGGGAACGCAGGCTTTTGAACAGGGGTCATTTTATTTGTTTACATGTTGGCATGTTTTGTTTTATGATTGTGCCATTCTGTTGTGACCTACAGTTCCAGAATATGAATCCCATTAGAAATAAATGTATTTTTTCCCGTTCATGTTTTCTTTAAAAATGGTACATACTGTATATTAGCAATTCTCCAAAGAGATGCAAACTTTTGAACACAGCTGTGCACATTAGTCCCTTCTCAAATGTATTCAAAACATGTTCCAGTGACAACACACTTTGGAAAGATTTCCTCTCACTCCCTTTTGTGTCCCCAGGACAGGAACTGAAGAATAGTTCCCCAAAAGGACACGTACCACAAAAAAATGACTTTGGTACCTTCTACAAAACTAAATTACAGTGGTTGTAAAGGCTGAAGGTTTTGTACCTTCATGCATTCTATGCATGAAGGTAAAAAATCTTCTGTGTGCAGCAGTGCCCCATCCCCATCAATACTTATCTGAGCCTCATCGCGATCCAGCGATGTGAATGACAGCCTCGGTTGTCCCGGGACTGTGCCTTCTCATTGGCTGAGACAGCTGCTGTCAATCACAGCCAGTGAAGGGGTGGGGCCAAGCCACGGCTCCGTGTATGAATGGACACACGGAGCAACAGGTGCCCCCATAGCAAGCTGCTTGCTGTGGGGACACCCGACAGGAGGAACCAGGAGAGCCTGCGGCGGATCTGAGAAGAGGAGGATCCGGCCTGCTCTTTTCAAAACCACTGCACACAGTAGGTAAGTATAGACATGTTTATTAAAAAGAAAATAAAATGAACCTTTAGAATCGCTTTACATTTTAGATCTACTTTAAACTGAATAGAGGCATCAAATATTATAAAAATGTCAGATTGTTTTTGCAGTTATTGTTTGATCATATTGTGCTGAACAGCAAGGCCAGTTGCTCATATAGTGAGCCTTGGTTGGCAGTAGGAGACAAAGGTCTGCAGGGATGATGTTTGTTTTCTAAAGGCAGATGGTCACAAATGTCCTTCCTATATTGGTATATTGGTGCGTTTAGAACAGATGTATGGCTGTTTGTATCCTCAATTGTTCTTGTTACCTTTTAGAGCGAGAAAGATTTTTCCTTCTGTTGAAAAATATTTGTAAATGAAATAAAATCTTTTGAACCCAAAAGGAAAACACAATTTACAATATAATAAGCAGTTTATGGTTTATTAATGTTTTACCTGACTTTGACCCACCAAGTATTCCCACCATTACCCTGTAGTAACACAAGCCAAGCATATTATTAGTATTGGTGTGCTGCAGTGCCTTTACATTGTGAATGACACCCCAGCACATCTCCAAAACATGCATGTGCCCTGCGTTGCAATAAAATGCAGAACGCTCCAGGTTTTTGCTTGTGCTGCTGTGCGGTTCTTTTTTGAGTGCGATATTCAGTGCAATGCATTCCACCACAAAGCATTGTCTGTGTCCTCATTGGAAAGATTTGTAATCACATTCTGTCATGACAGAAAGTGAGGGGAAATATCCCTAATGGGGATACAGAAGGAAATGACCACCTGAAAGAGGATCTATCCCCTCCCTGCACTAAAACTGGATGTGTGCTTCTGTCTCCCATATGTGTCTGTACTATCAATCATATTAGTATCAAAGTTTCAGAGGGCGATGGTGTTGTGGCAGGGAATATTTATTATGTTTTCATGTAACAGAATTGAAGATGTGGCTGCATTCGTTTTCTTTCTTAGGCTTTCTTTCTTTTGTTTTCAACTGGCGATCTGGCCAGTAAGTTTGTTGTTTTTTCAGCAGAACAAGCTGTCCTGCAGATGTATCGGAGATATGAGACAAACTATTTACCACTGACAGGGGTGCTTACAGGGGTCAGCTTTTATCTATTTATGCAAAAGGAGCAAAACTGTTTGCTTTAACTGTTTGGCTTCACATTTGTTTAGTGTATCTAAATCTGCTAGTACATGTAACATCTGGAGAAACCCTGGGGTTCCATGGAACTCTGGTTAAGAGAGCCTGCTTTTTGTGTATTTCAATCTGCTAGTCCATCTAACACTAATCTTCCCCCAGACTTACAATTCTGCTGTCCAAAGGTGTCTCTGTTGCTCCTTTATCTAAAGTGGGGGCACCCTAAAGCAGGAGGTGTATTACTGGCCAGATCACCAGGTGAAAACAGAGGGTGAAAAAGCCTGAAAAGAAAAGTAATGCAGCCACCACATCTAAGGATTAGTGAGCTGCAGTATATTTCATTTTTGGTTTTGGGTTTAATACCGCTTTAAAGGTGAAGTACAGCCAAAGCTCTTTTGGCAGTACTTCTCCTGTGGATCCCAGGTGACCCATTATCAGCTGACAGTGGGATGTGTCGGCTGATGTCACTCAGCCGCTCCAGGCTGAGGAAAGGTCCTGACTTTAAAGCCGAGATCCACCCCAGAGTCTGGAGTGTCACCTGGCTCAACCTCTCAGCGAGCTGCTGAGAGCCTGAGCCAGTCACTCCTTCTACAACCCACCACTCCAGTGAGCGTGGGGGGGCAGAGCAGACAGAGATGACTTCACCGCTCTTTGCTCTCAGCCGTGGTGATAACTCAGTGATCAGCAGTCATGTGTACGCTTAGTTATCACACTTAGAGTCAACGGGGGACAGATGCAGCATCCACCTAGGTACGCATGATTTGGGTACAAAAGAAAAAAAAAAAACCTCAAACTTCTCAAAGTCGCAAAATCGTTTTTAGTGTCTGATGACGAATTTCCCCACGAATCATCACTCAATTCTGCAAGTGGTTCTGATTTACTATCGCTGTTCTAAAACCGCTTTTGACGTAAAGGGACGCTTTTTGGACGCCATGGACTTTTCTAAGTTTCCAGGCAGAAAGAACAGTATAAATGCAGGCAGGGCACAGGACAAAGCAGTAGGGACAAAATGTATGTGAAATGCATGGAAATAGCAATGACAGCAAAAATGACATTTTTTAAAAAATTCAAATTTCCCGCCGGTTCCGGCACCCGTACGTCCCGACGTCACAGGGACCGGAACACAGAAGCCGGATGCCGGCATCGGCCAGAGGAGATCGCCAGGGGACGCTGGAGGGGACACATCGCGGGAGCGAAGGACAAGGTAAGTGCTGCAGGGACCCCCAGAGCAGCGCCGCATGGTAAGCCCGAGTGTAGCTCGGGGGTTACCACTTTTGGTATAGAAATTTTACCCCGAGCTACACTCGGGAACACCGCTAAGGAGGTTAAAGTTGAATTACATAGTCACATTGGTCCATCTGGGACCAATGTAAGTATGCATGGGCCATACCTGTAGGATCCCTGTGGAAGCAGATAGCCACTATAGTAGACTCAGGGCACCTCTCGCCACCTACTTTTAGTGAGATGAGTTTTGTAATATAAAGCTAAAAAAGCCAGCATGTAGAACGGCCAAAACACACGTCCACTGTGGTGCATTACAGCAGTGCATGTTATTGCTCATTACATCTGTTGGCATGTTGCAGCGCCATTCACTCTTAATAGTACCCCAACGACTTTGTCTTTAATATTCAGATTCTTGCATAAAATTATGCTTGGCTTAAGATTCTGGTTCCCACAGAAGCCCAATAATGTTAACTTTATGTATTAGATTTTCCTGATCTCTTTTTAGTAACTTTTTACTGATATATATATATTTAATTATTTTTAAGATCGCACGGCATGAGTTTTGCGGAATACAGACAGCAAATACAAGATGGTGACACCGCCATTATCTTTCTGGGACATGACTCCATGTTCCCGGTGACTATCAAACATGGAAGCCAGACACAGACTAAATATGGGGTCATGAGACACTCCACCGACCTTATTGGGAAGAAGTATGGCTCCAAGGTGACCTGCAGCAAAGGAGGATGGGTATACATTTTGTATCCAACCCCGGAGCTCTGGACAATGAACCTGCCTCATCGGACTCAAATCCTTTATTCTACCGACATCTCGATGATCACAATGATGTTGGAGCTGAAGCCGGGCTCTGTGGTTTGTGAGTCAGGTAATTATGTTTTATTACAAGTACATTTAGGAAGGTTATTCCATCCATTCCATTACATCTGTATTGCTGAACTGGTACAAGGGGTAATAGGCAATTCTGATCCGTCCTAGGAAATTAATGCTTGTCTTTATATAGTGTGGAAGTGAATTAAAAAAAGCATTCAACCATATCCCAAACAATCAATAACACTTATAAAAAGGTCAGTTCTGTCAAATCTGATCTGGACACCTTTAGGTTGAATCATTCCCTGGCTTCTATTTCAGGTTCTACCCCTTCATGGGACTGACCCTTAAAGTATTAACTAAAGGCAAAACCTTTTGTTTTATTATTTTTTTTTTTCGCTTTGGATAGTGGAGAAGGATTAGAACATCCGTCCGGTTTTTATTGCTGTCTGTGTTTTTAAGATTTATCCCCTCTACTTGACCCGGTGACTGTTAAGCATTGCATTCCTGATCACATTTCATGCGATTCTTTGCAGTGTGATTTGAGCTAGTCATTTTGTATGGCTCAAATTGCACTGCACCCGCAGGAAAGGTGCATGGACTTTTTCTTTCTCACTGGAATCTGATTGCATGGGTGTTCACATTCATGTAATCTGATTCAGCCAATCGCACTGCACTCTTAACAGTTTTTGGGGTGTCATTAACTTAACATAGACACCCGCAGCGGTTCGCATGAATGGAGTGCGATTGTGATGCGGTGCAGAAAACTCACAGAATTTGCTATGAATCGCGCACCGCATCAATGCAAACCAGCACAAAAAGTAAAAGATAATCACAAATTTGTCTCCAGAATAGGGATAGGGGGGGAAATCTTCCAGTGGGGACACTAGTGCCGGTAAACCTGATGACAACCACAGATTCCCTCTCAATTCTGTTGCGACTGTTGGGCAGGAAGTGAACTGAAACCTCCCCATTAGGACACATGGCAAAGGAAAAACTGAAAGGGGTTATAACCCTTCCTTAGTCTATTCAAAATGAAAACTGTTTTGGCTTTATTTCTACTTTAAAGTGGTTCTAAAGGCAGAAAGTTTTTTACCTTAGCCACTTGACATCCAGGCTATAGTTGAATATCAGTGCCGCATATCAGTGCAGCCTCATCAATGCACATCAGTGAAGTAGAAAATGTACCTGTTCGCAAAATTTTATAAAAGAAACAAAGAAAAACATTTTTTTTCAGATTTTTTTGTTTTTCGTTTATAGTTAAAAAATAAAAAAAACTTAGTGGTGATTAAACACCACCAAAAGACAGCTCTATTTGTGTGTGAAAAAAAGGATAAAAATTTCATATGGGTACAGTGTTGCTTGACCACGCAATTGTTATTCAAAATGCAACAGCACTGAAAGCTGAAATGTGGCCTGGGCAGGAAGGGGCTAAAAGTGCCCGATAGGCAAGTGTTAATACATTCTCTGCATTAACGTAAAAACCTTCAGCATGCAGCTTCTCCTGCCAGCGCACCACCTGAGCCTGATCTCTATCCAGCAATGTGCACTAGAGCAGAGGCTCTCTTGGCTCTCTGCCTTCTCATTGGCTCCCGCTGCTGTCAATCGCCACCAGTGAGAAGGTGGTGGGCTCAAGCCCACTCCGGAGCAAGTCTGAACAAGTGCCCCCATAGGAAGCAGCATGCTATAGTGCACACTTGGCAGGGAGGAGGGACCAGAAGCGCAGGCGGGAGATCTGAGAAGAATAAGATCGGGGCTCCTCTGTGTAAAACCATTACACAGAGCAGGTAATGTATGTTTGTTTTGTTTTTTTCATAAATGTAAACCTTTACAATCACTTTAAAAAGGAACCAAAATCTGGAAAACACAATCTGGAAACCTGAGAAAAAAAAAAACAGGTGGAGGATGAAGAACTAGTCACAAATACAGCCTATAGGTTCACCGCAGCCGATCTTTTCCCCATTACTAACTTACCATGCCATGTTCTGCACTGTATCTCTGTTAAAGGCACCCATCTTGGTTAAGTCAGGGTATTACATTCCCATGTCCTATCATTCATATATATATATATATATATATACAGTTGCAAGAAAAAGTATGTGAACCCCTTGGGATTGCGTGGAGTTTTGCATGAATTGGGCATAAAATGTGCTCTGAACGTCATCTAAGTCACAACAATAGAAGAACACAGTCTGCTGAACATAATACTACACAAACATTAGATGTTGCCATGGTTTAATTGCACATAACATGTAAACATTCACAGTGCAGGGAGGAAAAAGTATGTGAGGCCCTAGCTTAGTGACTTCTCCTAGAGCTAATTGGAGCCAGGAGTGAGCCAACCTTGACTCCAATCAGTGTGATGATATTGGATGTGTTGCTGACAGCTGTCCTGCCCTTAAAAAACACACACCTGTTTTGGGTTTACTGGTTTCAAGAAGCACTGTCTGATGTGAACCATGCCTCGCAGAAAAGAGCTCTCAGAAGACCTACGATCAAGAATTGTTGACTTGCATGAAGCTGGAAAGGGTTACAAAAGTATCTCCAAAAGCCTTGATTTCATGTGTCCACAGTAAGACAGACTGTCTACAAATGGAGAAAGTATAGCACTGTTGCTACTCTCCCTAGGCGTGGCCGTCCTGTAAAAATGACTGCAAGAGCACAGCGCAGAATGCTGCATGAGGTAAAGAAGAATCCCAGAGTGTCAGCTAAAGACCTACAGAAATCTCTGGCACATGCTAACATTTTTGTTGACACATCTACAATGAGGAAAACATTAAACAAGAATGGAGTACATGGGAGGACACCACGGAGGAAGCCATTGCTGTCCAAAAAAGAATATTGCAGCACATTTGAAGTTTGCAAAAGAGCACCTGGATGTTCCACAGCACAACTGGCAAAATATACTGTGGACAGATGAAACCAAGATTGAGTTGTTTGGGAAGAACACACAACACTATGTGTGGAGAAAAAAAGGCACAGCACACCAACATCAAAACCTCATCCCCACTGTAAAACATGGCGGAGGGAGCATCATGGTTTGGGGCTGCTTTGCTGCCTCAGGGCCTGGACGAATTGTTGTCATTGATGGGAAAATGAATTCCAGAGTTTATCAAGACATTTTGCAGGAAAACGTAAGACCATCTGTCCGCCAACTGAAGCCTCGTAGAGGATGGGTGATGCAACAGGACAATGACCCAAAGCATACAAGTAACTCAACAAAACAATGGCTGCAACAGCACAGAATACGCTTTCTGGAGTGGCCCAGTCAGAGTCCTGACCTCAACCCGATTGAAATGCTGTGGCATGACCTTAAGAGAGCGATTCACACCCGACATCCCAAGAACATTGCTACACTGAAACAATTTTGTGAAGAGGAGTGGTCCAAAATTACTCCAGATCGTTGTGTAGGTCTGATCTGCAACTACACGAAACATTTGGTTGAGGTTATTGCTGCCAAAGGAGGGTCAACCAGTTATTAAGTCCAAAGGTTCACATACTTTTTCCTCCTCCCTGCACTGTGAATGTTTACATGTTATGTGCAATTAAACCATGGCAACATCTAATGTTTGTGTAGTATTATGTTCAGCAGACTGTGTTCATCTATTGTTGTGACTTAGATGACGTTCAGAGCACATTTTATGCCCCAATTCATGCAAAACTCCACGTAATCCCAAGGGGTTCACATACTTTTTCTTGCAACTGTATGTATATATATGTATGTGTGTATATATATATATATATATATATATATATATATATATATATATATATATATATTAATAAAATAATTGAAAGCAACAGTGGCAGCTGCTCAGTGTGCCAGGGACCTTTTGCATCATCACCACATAGCTGCCCACCAATGACTGGTGGGGGTAATGATTAGCCAGGAATCTTGTATAATATATCCCGTCCACTCCTGGCATTTTCCTGTCACTATTTGTAAGATGTGAAAGCACAAAACTGTGCACACTCCTTGAACATTTGTGTGAAATGATCAGTATACGTTAAAGTGGACCTGAACTCAAGGAGTAAAGATTTGCTATCTTTCATGGCATAATGTGGAATGTTAACTGTGCCTGAGCCATACCCCTTAACCTCCTTGGCGGTATGATTCTTTCCGATTTTTGGTGCTGAAAGCGGGTACCATTTTTTTGCATGGAAATATGTATTTTTTTTTTATTTTAGGCCTGTAATTCTTAGGAATAACTCTCTGAAATCTGTCCGAACAAGAGTCTAGTAAACCTCCCGGGTAGGATAAAATTTGAAACACGTAATCATAAATTATAATTTAATAAATAATCATAAAAAAAAATAATAAATAATAATAATACATTTAATTCAATAATATAATCAAACCAAAAACACTGAAATTTGAAATATAGCGCCAAGTTAGCACATTGCTGAGCAAAGTCGCAAAATTGTTTTCAGTGTCTGATGACGATTTCCCCCACAAATCATTATCACTCAATTCTGCAAGTGGTTCTGATTTACTATCGCTGTTCTCCTAGCTGATCTAAACCGCTTTTGACCTAAAGGGACACTTTTTGGACGCCATAGACATTTCTCAGTTTCCAGGCAGAAAGAACAGACAAAATGCAGGCAGGGCACAGGACAAAGCACTCGGGACAATATGTATGTGAAATTGGTTGAGACAGCAATGTTTTACTATGTAAAATGTAAAAAAAAAAAAAAAAAAAGACATTTTTTAAAATTTTTACATTTCCCGCCGCCAGCGGCGCCCATACGTCCCGACATCACAGGGACAGGACACAGAAGCCGGATGCCGGCATCGGCCGGAAGAGATGGCCAGGGACGCTGCAGGGGACACATTGCAGGAGCGCAGGGTAAGGTAAGTGAAGAACAAATGCCGGAGCAGTGCCGCATGGTATTCCCGAGTGTAGCTCGGGGTTACCGTTTGTGGTACTGAAATGTTATCCCGAGCTACACTCGGGAATACCGCCAAGGAGGTTAAAGTGGATCTTTATCCAAAACAGCTTGATAAAAATAATATTCTTTAGCAAGGAACATACATTCCACATTAATAATTCTGCTACC